AAACTGGACTGAATGATGATAATCTTTGTTAATGTTCTGCCGTAGTTGTTCACAGGCTTTCTAACCTATTTAATGACATGACATATGATGTTGTCTACCTGTGCAGTTTCTTTTCTTAGAGAGCACAGAACAAATATTAGCAAGTGAAATCTATTATTAATGTCAAGGTACAATTGACATTGTTTTCCTTGTGATGTTTTGTTAAGATACAAAAGCTCCATTCACTACCATATTAGATTACGTAGATTTACAGCCTGTGCAAAATACTGGACATTAGGCTGAACTGTTGAATTGTCCTTTCAACCTGATAAAGAAATTCAATGTCTCCCTCATATGTAACTGATTATGAAATACTGTATTATAAGTGACTTCATGCACAAACTATTACTGTTGTAATAGTAGTTTAGTACAATCTAATGTTGTTTATACTGAACAATTCTTATAAGATATTTACAAATGATTCACAAAAAAGTTAAGGAAGTGTAAGTTTTTACTGTGTGGGTCTAAATACCTTACCACTTCATTAGTAAACATGATTTGCATTGTTCCTTTTCTGGAGTAGAATTTCTCCTGTACAATGTTACGGTTTTAGCATGTTGATGTTTAACAAATGCAATCCAGTTTGACCTATTTTTATATAATGCTTACACTAGTAAAAATCAGAGTAGACTCAGCAGTCCCATGAAATACATACCATCCCATGTCATTCAAGAAGGTTCAAGAACTAAGTCCACTTTTAAATTAATATTTATTTAAAAAAGGGAAATTGTTCTCTTCTTCTTCTTAAGCCTTAGGGTATTCAACATTTTGTAGTCCACAGACAACAAAATAGATCCGTCTGTCCACAGAAAGTTAAAAACCCAAGTTTGCTTTATGGTTATCATCTCACTCCTTGATAAAAAAGTTTGGTAACAAAGATAAGATAAAGGTAATCTGAGCTAGGAACATTTTTAAATATATCTTGAGAAAGATCTTAACAGTTGTGATGCAAGAAAAGGACTTTTTCAAAAACTTTAATAGATAACCATGTATCTCACATACAGTAACTCACAATCTTGCATTTACTTGGGGTTAGTAAATAATTAAAATGAGTGAAATTAAATGTGTGAAATGCCAATAGGATGTCGGGATTACTTTTTAATCTTTTAGGAGACCCTAACAGATTGATCTTAGAATATGCTTGGGTGTCAAAGAGCACACTACAAGTACAATATGTTTCTTTCTAGAGTTCAAACATGTCAGCTCCATAAATGAGCCCCTTCTGAGATGTATATCATATTTTATCACATGGGTACTTCATTTCAATAGGGCGCTGATAGTGCAGGTTTGCATAGGTTAGAAATAATGAGCAATGATGTGCACATGTTGAAAAACGAATCAAAATCCATGTTTTAATCATTTGGTGAAGGACTAATACCTTATAAATTAGTGTGATGCACCTTTTTAAGGTTGAATTGAACAGCATTAATTTATTCTCTACAAATACTGATTACATTCCAAGATTTGGATAGTTTACATGATCTGTGACACAGTACAAACAGTCTTCGTCATAGGGTTTTTGCAGAAAATGCAATACTTGCTTTTTGTTCTATCCAATTATATTGACTCAGAGATCCAAAAAGAACAAATATTTTACTGAGAGCCTGCCAAAAGGAGATTTCCTCCCTATGCAAACAGATACAATCCTCCAATAGCAAGCACGCCAAAATCTAATAATGTCAGAACTCAAAAAAAACATTGTAATAAAGCCCCACTACTACATTAATATTAACTTAGTAATCACTTTTAAAGCTAACAATATGCACAGCATATATCAAATGTAATTGGTAAAAACAATTTGGTAAAGAAAATTTTGATTTACTGAAATCACACACAACCTCTATCCTATAATCTATCCTAACACATAACTTTTTCTTAACTCATCACTATCATTTCTCTTTTTCATATATAGTTTTGAAAAACTATATATGAAAATTTCTGGAAGCTTCACCTCTCAGAAGTGATCAATGAACAGCAAATCTCAAAGCTGTCAGTATCATGGATTAGATTCCTACTCAGAGTAAGGAGAATACAAGGCCCAGTCAAATATTACATTTTGGCAACAAAAAATTCCATTTGATTATTTGAGATAATGGACAGCATTGGTTATGTGATAGATATGGCATTAGGTAATGGCAGTTTTGTTTTGTGTTGAGTTTACAAAATCAGCCTCTCAAGGCTTTTCCAAAGCTGCAATCCAGAGCTCACTGAGTACTCAGGCAGATCACATCGAAATCTGTTTTAATGATGAGAGTGCCCTTTCTACACAATAAAGGAAACTAAAGGCTGTAGTACCTTAAAATGCTGAATGCTTTTGAGTTCAAAATGGAGTTAATGATTTGAACAAATTTTGACAACTATAGACTATAAGATTGTAAGAGCATAGTAACAAAGAATTTCATCATGCTTTTTTCTGGGTGCATTTTATTCTCCTTCTGAAGTAGATCTACCTATCTTTTATGTTTAAGTTTACCATAAATGTGCATATTTATTTTGCTGTTTTAAGAATGCAATTAATTAAGATATTTAAAGATAATAATGTATGTAATGCAATTTGGTAGTAAAACTGCTGGGAACAGTTAGGTATCACTATTATACTAGAAATGCTGCTTCAACTCCTAGGTTCCATAGTAGTCCAGGGAAGGATGACAAATGGCTCATGATTTAGCCTTAATACTTAACTCTAATCTGAAAACAATCTCTAATCAAGAAAACACGTGAAGACCTGTACATTTTCTATCTCATTAAATCATTCAGTCTATTAAAACAGCAATACTTTCTTATTTATAAACATGGTTACTAGTCTTGGGATAGATGTATCCAATTTTGTCAAATGTCTTCTTGCACTAGAATGTACAGTAGACCCCTTCGAAAACTTGGTAACTAAAAACATATGACATGTAATTTGCTGCCTTGTCTAAGCTAATTTTCAGGTTGACCCAAATTATATCAACCCAAGTTGCTATTTCATGAAGTTTTACTACAAAATGAAAAACAAAAACAGTTTGTATTATGATTCTAAAACAATAAAAATAATAACATCATATATTCTTTACTGTTCAGAAAATATAGACATTCACACACATTCACAGTGTGTATATTATATATAGTATGGAATATCTTGAGAATAAAGCAGTTAATCTTGTTTCAGCACAGGTCTCAACAAACTGGTGATGCCCTGCATGAACCTTAAGAGTAACTGAAACCAGTGTTTTTGTTTCCTAAGCCTCTCAGCTTTTTTCATTATATCCATTTCAAATTAGCGACCTACAAGTATCACACAGTGTTCCTACGATGTACAGAAACATACTGTACAGTAGCACTTAAAATCCAGTCAAATGTTCAAAACATTTTTAAAATGCTATCATACATTTTATTGTTACATAATGAGTTGAGCACATGTTGATAAATATCACAAATTTTATAATGATAGTGATTTTGAGAAGGAGAACTAAAAGTATAGCATTCTTTAAGGTGGTTTTCAGTTAAAACATAATGAGAAAACATCAGCTAGGAGCTCAGTTAAACATGCTTTACTTAATAAGTGGACACTTTAGCTTTGTCTTCATCTCTGATAGACCAGTGAAAAAAAACGGCACATCGGGTGATACAGCTATCAAAGATCAACATGAAATCAAGTCTAAAAACAGAATGTCAAGAAAAAAGATACCAAAAACCAACAAATGTTTTAAAAAAACAGAAGACAGTCCAAGTTTATTTTTAAAAAAGGTCCAACTGACTGTAACAGTGAAAGAATGATATCAGGTTATCCCTGTCAAAACTCCAAAAGCGAAACTGATATGTTCACTACCTTTCTACATTAAACAACACTGTTAGGTCTGGATAGTAGGTTACGCCCTTTATCAATAAATATGAATTTAACACCATATACTGTACATAACACATTACATAACACATTAAAAAAGACTAAGCTTGACATAGCATGGAGGTCTTCTTGGTAGTTCTTCCAAATAAAGTAGCCTTAGTTTTATGCAATGAACAAAGTTTAAAGGAACAAGGAATTAATGCAATCATCTTATCATGAAAATATTTTAAGTACATCAGAAAGCACCAACGTTATTGAAGTTGTCAGATGAGGAGAGAGTAAAAATGTCTTAAATCAGAGAACAGACACTAAATAACAGCTAATATGCCTAACTACGTGTACCCTGTACACTGGCCCTGGCTGTGTCCATATTCTTAGTGAATGCTTTAAGAAAGGATTAGAATTCCCAAAATTATTTACGACTATATTTAATCATTCCAAATGGAAGCTCTCAGATGTTAGATGTTCATGCACAGTGTTTGTATTACACCTGGAAGGGTAATGAGAGACATCCTCCTATGGGACAGTTATTCTCTTCTCTTTGAAACGATGCTCAGCTACAGTATATGCTAAAATGAATGTTGCTTCACACACCTTAAATCAATTCCGAGTTCTTAAACATTCTATAAAGCAGGCTTGGGCTTTTTAAAACAACATTTATTTGTAATAGGTGACAAAAATCATATCACAGTAAAAAAACCTTTCATCACTTCCCTAGTAAATAAGTTTTGGAAGACAACCATGACCACCATTAGCAGGAATTGATTATTAAATACAGATGTTGCAATAAATGTGTGAACCAGACAACCAGACATTTAAAAATGGCACACATCCCCCAATTTAATTTCTTCTTTACGTATTACATCTACTGTACAGTACTTCTAAATTAATATAACTGTACTACTAATAATACAACTTATATGTAGTGTATCCTCATTGCTGCTTTAACTTAATAAGGAAACCCTCATAACGCAAAATATACTTTTGTAACGACTAGCTACTGAAGAAGTTATATAATAAACCGTGAAATAAAACGTTAAAAAATGAGGAGAAAACAAGCGTTTCGTAAACTCATAAGTGGCGTCTCAAAAAACCCTGACATTTAAACTCAGTGGGAAGCAAAACGAGAGCTCACCTGATTTCTCAGCCAGACATGAAAAACACGATACAACCAACAGCAAAAAGCCCATTAAACAGATCTGTCCCAAAAACAACTCCTTTCGCTTTTTTCTGCGCGCTTTGATCTTTTTTTGGTTCAGCATCACTTGAAGCTGCCGAGTCCTGGTTCGAAATGCTAGAGACATCCTGGCTCCAGCCCCATCCATAGAGCTTAACAGGATCTTTGCAAAAAAGAGGAAGAAACAGAAGGTTGCAAAAGTTTCAAAACCTAATAGGAGGAATACAGTCGGCTTAATAACAAAACTTGCTTTTTCTATATCATTTTAAATCCTAGTGTTGTGCGATGTTTAGGTGCTGGACTGTAGGAGCGGTCCATGGATGGTAAGGTTGGTGCCAGGTCTTGTAGGACCGGGTCTCATGTGAGGTTGTGGATGTTGTAAAAAGGAGAGGGAGAGAGAGAAAGAGAAGCGCTTATCCAGATTGATGCCGTGCAGCTGTTTGATGGTGAAACAGCTCCTGTGTGTGTGTGAGAGAGAGAGAGGGAGACGATCCAAGACTACTGGAGTTATTTTGAGCCTCGTAGATAAGCACCTATCACTGCCCTCTGCTGGATATACAGGCTTTCTTAAGTGAGTAAAATAAAACGAGAACAATATTTCTTGCTCTTGGATTATGGTGCTTTTACCTGTGTGTGCGTTTTTGGATATGCGTAAGAGGAAGTATATAATACGTGTAACTGTTGTGGACGGAATTACAGCGTCCCTCTCTGCCTCCAGCAATGTTCATTAATTTACTAAGTGTAAAAAATATTACTATGCAACACGCATTTGACAAGAACATGAATGATTTAAAAACTATTACACGTGAATAAATACAAGTTAGAGGAAATACAGAAAATAGGTCCTATAGCAGTAACGATGAAAGGTTCATACTTCACAATTCATTTTTTGTAAATTAAAAAAATAGACTCTATATTTTAAAAATACAAAATATAACAATACAGGATGATCAACAACTGGAAATCATGTTTAATATCATTTTATTGTCATATTTTATATTCTAAATAAATTACAACATATTCACCCTGTCACTTTTTAAGAAGTGAAATGATTCCTTTTTGTCATTATGAAATCAATTTACAGTACATTTTACATTACCAAAAATATGCATTATCGAACCTCTTTAAAACACTAACAAATAACCTATAAAAATGATACATTCAATCTTTATTGTTATTCTCTAGGGAATGGGGAAGTAAAAAAAGGAACATTTCTTTTTGACCTTGTTTTGTTTTTTTATAACTTCTGCTCCACATGAGGCATTATTAACCACCTCTGTAGTGGCTGAAATTATTTTGCAGCAGATGTACAACAAAATATGAAATAATATTGTTCTTCAATGCAGACAAAAAGCTTAGGAGATGAAAGTTACTCCTTTTACATTAATTTTTATAAATGTGCCATGAAAACTTCCCTGTAAATTATTAAGTATTTGACTTTAAGCTTTGTTGAGAATCACCCACCATGCATGATTGACATTTTATAAAGGAAAATACAAGATCCCCATGGACAAATGCTAGATAACCATCTAAGGTGTTTCTCCACAATGTGTTATCAAGACTGAACAGAAACGTTTTACCTCATATAAGGAGCAGTAAGCAGAATTTCTAAAATGGTCTACATGTAGTATATTTAGGAAAAGAATAGCTTGTTTTCATATGTTATTTTTTATTCTGCAGGATTCTAAAATACTTAACAGATATAATGGGATTCCTCTTTCAGTGCTGAAGTACTGCAACCTCTCGAATCCCATCCTGTTAAGATCTAGGGTTTCTGACTGACTCATTTTGTGCCGTCAGTTAATTACAGTACATTACAATGAGTCACATGTGTGATTTCAATTTTTCTGGGTAAATAATTAAATGAGGTGATGCTCCCTTTTCCCTATAATCCCTTGCACTAAAGATGGACCATTTCTGATAGAATATCACTGATGCCCAGACAAAAAATAATACAGAAAAAGGGCCAAGAGATAGTTCATTACCCATGTGAACATCCATGATATCAACAAACAATGTTTTACTGATACTTTTATTTACTAAATTTCCCCTCTGAAATAGACTTTCTCATGTGACACCTACCATGTGGACTATCTTATATAACATTCATGGTAGATTCTAGCTACCTCATTGTGTTTATTATTGTGCAAGATAGAGTAAACACTGCAGCCTGCTAATCAACATGTCTAACAGCACCAGAATTATTTTCTTTGGAAAAAGTGTGCACATGGGGTACATTAAAAGGCTTGCATTTAATGCAACAAACACCACATTTACTTCCTTGAAAATGCAGAGGTCTGTTGTGGTGATTGTGTGGTTCCCTTAAGAGATTTTTTTTAGTTTACAAAAGTAAACTTTTAGGAGGACAAAAGTGTTTGAAATGGTGACTTGCAGTCCGGAAAGATACAAAGCAAAAGAAAACCACCTGGGATAACAACCCTTAGTAACCAAAGCTCTGCTGTAGCTACATATTCTATGGCCGTGGCAAATTACATAAAAAACTTGCTTTTGTCCTATGCTGCTCACAGTCAAGTGAAGTTTCCATGTGAATCCTTCGGTACATCCACAGACATTGCATGCAGTGAAATCAGAGTGTTGGTCCATACAGAGGATACCTTTTCATAGGTCAGAAAAGCTGCACTGAGACTGTTTTTTGGGCTTGTCGTGGAATTATAGAGATGTTTTGAAACAAACTATACAGTTATTAGAATTTTCTTAATACGTTTTGACTGCGGTTTGGCATAATTACTTTACATTTTGTTTCACGCACGATTTACCATTTGAAGACACCACTTCTACACATTCCAGATAGGTTAATTCTACTTTAGGTATATACTGTAGGTCTTGAAGGTGTTGATTAGAGTTTAATTTTGATGTAATTAAAGGAACTACTGTTCTATTTCCTTTTGTATTGCTCTAAGAACGATTAGATGGAATTTAACATCACATTCTTTCTATTCTATTCTTTCAATAGATTAAATACCCACAAATCCAGTTTATGCAGCAAGGAAAACACATTTCAGTCATATATTCAGTGTGCATGTCTGAAGAGCAGCCTAAGTGCAATATTTGTGTAGAATACCACATTTCTGTTAAATAAAATAAAGTTTAGCTCTATGAGTACTTTATATTTTAGGAAAAATATTTTTCCTATTAAATCTTGTACTTTGGAATTGTACTACTGTTGATTTTTTTTTTCAATGACATCCAAACTAGTGGAAACTAAAATTCAAAGTAATCCTAGACTTTAGATTTTGGGGGATGGTTCTCTGACAAAAACATCTACAAAAAGAATTTCTGTTACTTGCAGACACAGCTGCCAATACATACATTCTCTCTAGCTGGAAATCAGATAATCTTTCCCTGAAGAAACAGTGGTTGATGAAACCAATGTCCTGATCTTGTTTTTTTTTTTTTATATGCTGTATATGGTCCTTTTTGTATGCTGTTATTTAAACCTCATATCATCCAAAACAAATAATTTTACTTAATGGTGTGTGTGTGGGGGGGGCTTATTCAAGGTTCCTACAGGCACGTTTACTGGGATTTGCACACATAATGTTGACTTACTGTACCTCTCTCTAATTGGATATAAACAAGGGTTGAAAATGAAAATGACCACTACAGTATGTATCAGCAAACATTTTTAAATAAAATCAGAAATAGATTTTTAAAAATAAATAACAGAATTCAAAATAGCACGACACACCCTTAGGCCAGGTGCTCAATGCCTTGTAGTTCTACTGTACATATTGAATGTGAATGCATTTGACATCCACACGCTGCCTGAGTCTGTGTTGAAGACAACTAGGCAATGTGGTATATTTAAACAATAAGGTCATTTTTCTAAAATAAGAGATTTAGGTGGCAAGTTTTCAAGAATCTCAAGCCTTTTGTCTTGTGGGGTAGGCAGAGTGAAAATACAGCAATGTTTCTCATTGTTTTCATGTTTGACCTTAAGGAAGAGTACAATTTACTTCACAGGCTAGACAGGCTCTGGAAATGTTTCCTTGGCAATCTGACATTTTACTGTGAGATGACTAAATGAGTAATAGATGGTGAAAGGTAATGTCATGATAGCCTATGTAAATATAAAGTATAAGACAAAAACCTTTATCACCCAGTGTGTGAAAGAACTAGTTGATGTACATGAAATGGAAAAAAAAGCTAGCAGCAGGTCTTGGGGAGTACACAAGTAGAATGTGACCCTCGATATTACAGACAAGCTTGATGAATCCTGAATGCTGAGTGAATGATAGAATGTGATTAATTTTCTTTGGCTGATAACGAAATGAGCGGCTGAAAGCTTTCTACAGATTGAAAGAACAATGACACAACCCTCTAATGGTGAACTTGATTAAGGGTGAAGTATACAGTGCCTTCCAAAAGTATTCAGAACCCTTCCTATGGTGTCCCATTCTGTGAAGTTACAGAATGATGCATAGACTTTCTAAACGTAATTTTATTCAGAACCTGAAGGCTCATACTGAAGTCTTCTTAGGGTAAGATACATTACTGTAAAACATCTAAAAAAATTGATTGCATACAGTATATATTCATACTCATGGACTCTATTCGGTGGATGCACCTTTGGAAGCAATAGAGAACTAAATCTTTATTGGTTAAGTCTTGACCCACTTTGCACACCAACACTCTCAATTTGCTTGGGGAAATCACAGTTTACAAGTCATTGTTTTGAGTACAGTAGGCCAATCAAGGAAATGCATTTATTACAGTGCAGGTTCAGATCCCTGCCACACTGAAAGGTGAATTTATATCCCTGTTTTAAGTCTTTAGCACACAAAAAGGTTGTGCTCCAGTATTTGCCTTTACTTTGCTCTGTCTGTCTCTCTGTCTTTTTCCTTCAGTCCTAACAAGCTTTCCAGTCTCTTCTAAGGAGAAGCATCTTCACAGCATGATGCCATCACAACCTGCTTGCCTGTAAGGGCAAATGGGACTGGGAGATGTGCCATGTCTGCACCAAATGTAATGTGTTGCATTTATACCAAAACAATCTTGCTCTTGTCTGACCGCAAAATAATTTGGGGTATCACTTAGTTGCTACCCCAAAAGGTGCTGTGTTGCAAACCCCCTACAGGATTTGAGATGTTTCTTTTCTCTCCCATACAATTCCCCTTATGACTGGGTTATTGTTGACCTATGGACATTTTCTCCCATCCCAATAAACGTAAAAACACTCAAAGAGATATGAAGGGTTGTTGAAAAGATTTATACCCTTCACCAGACCTGTGCCTTTATACAACTACCTCTAAGTTTAAAAACTCCAAGGTCTTCATAGTTGAGTCTTTTCTTAAAATTCATTACTTGACTGAGGGACCTTCTTGAGAAGGTATATTTATTCTCTAAACATGTAAAACACTACTGTGCACAGACACCATTCAACCAATTATGTGTGCCAAATTTCATTTAGGTTTACCACAGAAAAGGGTTTGAATACTTTTGCAGTCTTTTTTCCAA